CCTTCCTTCCTTCCTTCCTTCCTTCCTTCCTTCCTTCCTTCCTTCCTTCCTTCCTTCATTCATTGAAAGACGGACTATTGTCTGACCATTGTCCTGATCAGACAATAGTATCTTAAGCTAAAATGGTTCTGCTTCCTCCCATGTGGTAACTTCTCATGGTAACAATGCTTAGAGAATTTAAGCTATGCGTGTCTCTGGCTGATGGTTAAAATTTGCTCCCTTCTCCCACCTGGCTAAAAAAAGACATTATAAATTAATGTTCTTTATTTCTCATCCCCTTCTTGTCATCTCCATGTGCTGCTCTGCCAATATCAACTTCCCCCAATAACATGCCCTCGCTGCAAAGAAACCTCAAGAAATAAGCAACCTTCTGGAGGATGAGAACACTTCTCATTTGAAGATTGAATCATAAAAGATTAAGGAGCTCATTGAGAGGCAGCCTGTCCTTTACATTCTCCTTTCTGAAGAATTATTTTAATTTTGCCAGTGAGCATTTAGCAGAATCTTTCCCAGCCTCCAAATGACTAATGAGCTAGAAAATCTAGGAGGGTAACAGTCTTTTCAGTTCCCAAAATAAAGCCAGCACTTCTGCAGATTTCACTTAATTAGTACTGTAATTGTCAGACTTACCAGCAGGCAAGTCGTGTGCGTCTGAAGAAGCGGACTGTGATCTACCAAAACTTACATGGTCATTCATTCATTCATTCGTTTATTTATTTATTTATTTTATGAAAATGTCCCAAAACTCTTGGTTGGTTTTGCTGCAGAAATTTCACCTTCTGGGTACTCTTATCTGAACGTGCAGTCTTGCAGGGAAGTGAAGCCCGCTAAACATATTCAGTCCTTCTACCTCACTTGAATGGAAGACTTGGTTCCTCTTTTCCCTGCTCTCATTTTACATGTCAGGCATGCAAACTTGCTCTTGCTGATCTTCCTCCCAGTCTTGAGGAGACCAACTTTTGCTGTCACTTGCAAGGGCTGTTTAAATGCCTCTAGTCCTGTTGCTCTTCTGGAGGGTTTTTCCTTAGGCACAAAATCTTTGCAAAACATTGCTCTCCTTTTGATGCTTTCTGGAAATTTGCCCCACCAACCTAGCCAACTAGTTTCCCCTGTCCCACCCACAACCAGCTATGTAGGTCCTAGGATATGTTAACTCAGTGTTTTTCAACCTCAGCAACTTTAAGATGTGTAGACTTCAACTCCCAAAATTGCTCGCTGGAGAATTCTGGGAGTTGAAGTCCATACATCTTAAAGTTGCCAAGGTTGAGAAACACTGATGTACACAATCAAAGACCTTGCTGTGGTCAATGAAGCAAAGGGAAATCTATTTTCTTGCTTTTTCAATTAGCCATCTTACATTAGCTTTGATCTTGAGTTCTACCTTCAAATCTTGGAATATAATGAATTAAAGGTTGCTGAGGTTGAGAAACACTGTGTTAACTTATAGGGCTCAAGGTCACCTTTAAACCTTAGAACCCTTAGAAATTTGTAAGAGCATTACAGCTGTTGACTAGAGAGAATCATGCTTAGCTGCATTTCCTGCCTAGATCCCAGCAATAGGATTTAATTTAGAGATAAAAAGACCAATCTTACTCCTTTTATTTCATGTTGGAGGCTGGAAGATCATGCCTTCCCAACTCTATTTAGGAGAGATGTAAATTTACTGTTGCAATTAACAGTAGGTGCATCTTGACATCCTCCAGATGCTTTGGAATGTCTCTCCTACAGTCCTTTTCCGTTGACCATGCTAGCTGGGACTGGGAGGAGCTGAAGGCCATAACATCTGCAGAACAACAGATACTGTATGGCTTGGGAAGGAATCTAACCAGGAGGACACATTTATCTTGTACGGGTTCATTGAACAAGCTACAGTGGCTTGGTTGGAGGGTGGCTAAGCCAGTGATGGTGAACCTCTGACACATGTGTCAAAGGCAACACAACATTTTGGGTGACACGCCCGCGTTCACCAACACCCGACCGCAACTATTCTCCCTGAGTTACCAAAGAAACTGAGTTTGTTTTACTCGTATTTCATTTTTATAATTGTTTGACGTTTCTTTATATAATACATAGCACCACATATGATTGGATTGGATTTTTTTAAATAAATGAATATGTAAATAATTGTGTTTTTGTTTGGGGGTGTGTGTGACATGCCAGCAGAGTCATATTAAGCATTTTCCAAATTTTTGACACGCGGAGCCCAAAAGGTTTGCCATCACTGGGCTAAGCTGCTGTTTGTGATTTAGAACAATGGCTGGAATCCTGCAGGGCAGTAAGCCAGGAATTTCATGCCTTCCAGCAGCTTGATATCATCCCAGGTCTTGTGACCCATGTTGAGAGCTTCACTCAAAAGGGGGGCAGGATTTGTCTTGGGCAGGCAAGGAGCTTTAAGGGTACAATGGATGTCTGAGGCCCTTAGAAGTCTTAAGACAGTCATTTTGCAATGGAAAAAAAAAAGAAAGAAAGCCCAACTTCTAGGGGTACCAAAGTTCATAGACCATCCTCTCGTTTATTCCTGCATGAAGCCAGAAAGAAGCAAACAGCTTAATGGCTTAGTACCATCAGTGAACGCTGAGTGTGTACATGAGAGAGAAAAAGGCTGGGTTCACCTACTTCCTGGATTAGGCCAGATAGGGTTGGCTGATTTGGGGTTCTGCAGTTTGTGGGGACTCAGCTGTTGTGAGAACCTGGCCAGAAAATTGGCATTGGGTGGAAATACGAGAGTTTGCTGTGTTAGTGGTTTTTCTTAAATCTGGTGCTCATTCTCATTGAAACGCTCCATAAATACTGTTAAGTCTGGGTCTCCAGCTGGGGTTAACCAGCTAGGGATGCAGCCAAGGGGATCAGAGCAGAACTGAGAGGGCTTTACCCTGAATTGGTTGAGATTTTGCAGAGATCATCAGTCTACCTGGGACCTTAAGCCAACTTAGCACATGTCAGAATGGTGTGACCTATCAACTCTACCCCTTTTTTGTCTTTCCTCCAAAAATATTAACCCTTTCCTTTTGCTTGAACCCCCAACAGGATTGTCTTTTCCACTCCCTTTGCTGTGATCTCCTACTTCCTGATATGGTTTGTGCCTGACATCTCTCGAGGGCAAGTGATGTGGTACCTTTTCTTCTACTGCACTTTTCAGACCCTTGTGACGGTGAGTCTGTCCATTTGGGATACAGCTAGGACTTGGATTTTGGTGCCCGCCTCTTGCCACGTTCCCTTCCTTCCCTCGCCCTGCCCTTGTTGGCTTTGATCTTCTGCTCCATACGGCACCTTCGCTGGCCATCTTAAAACCAGCGTGTAGGCCAAATGCTCGATTTAAGATTGTCAAGATGGTGGGGGAGAGCTGAAATAATCAAGAAATGGACATTCTGGCAACGATAAGCAGCCTTGAATTGACTGTGCTGTACATATTCTGCTATAGAACATATATCTCTGATAACCTGTTTCTAAAATAAGATTCCAGTCTTCGTGGTTCTATTGCAGGCACGTCCCATTCTTGTCCTATTGCACAGAATCTCTTGGCTTAATTTTTCCAATCTTGGGAATCTTTTCTAATCCTTGAAATTGTGCGGGGGGGGGAGCATTTTTGCCGTAGAGGGATCCCAATCAATTCAGTCAATGCAGCTTGTTTAAATCTGAACTGGATTTTGCACGCTGAATATGCTCTGAAGTCTCCCGACATATTTTTAGAATTAAGTTTGTCCTGTTGGGCTCGGTCCTCATAAGGTCCCAAAGCTTGTCCGGCTGGTTTCTCCCCCATCCCCAAATTATTTCTTCCAAACATAGTAGGCACTTTGCATAGGCCACATCAAATCAAATTTTATTATGGTTGTAGACCAGCATATTATGCCACATCTTTTAATATGTTGCAGTTAAAAGCTGAATTCGTATGTGCATGCTCAGTGTCTCCTTTTTTTCTCCTTTGCAGTGCTTCCATGTTCCTTATTCCGCCCTCACCATGTTCATCAGCAGAGAACAGAGTGAAAGGGATTCTGCCACAGCCTACCGTAAGAAACCTACCATCTCCGCTTATGAAAAATTTATCCAAAAGGCTTCCACCCTTCTAACTTTGGAAGCTGACTCTTCCCCATCTGATCATTGGACTGTGAAACACCACAATTTGTGTGTGTGTGTGTGTGTGTGTGTGTAATATCCCTTCCTGATACATATGTAGGCTTGGGAGCTTGTGCCTAGACTCTGGTCCAGCGTTTCTCATCCTTGGCCACTTGAAGATGTGTGGACTTCAACTCCCAGAATTCCCCAGCC